TTTTTATTTTCATTCGCTTTCCCTTGGCATTTTCAATATTATCCAAAAATATTTCTCAAAATCTAATTCATCAACGGAAAAGGATGATAGAGGCTCAATTGCAATGTCTGCAGTTTGACTGTCCTGATTCGAATTCTCCAATTGTTCTGAGAATAATTTCATTCCTCATGAAAGTTCATAGATGGCTTTCTTTGCCTTTTTAATTTGTTCGTCATCCAAGAAAATTCACTGTTTCGGATCTACATATATTGATCGCAGCAAGATCTCATTGTCTAGCAAACTAGTTTCTCTTTTCTTCATTAAAGAAATGATTCCTTCTGCAATAAACCTTCCATTTCAGAAAGAACAAACATCACATTCTCCCATTTTGGCCTCCTGTCAATTCTTCAGATTGCAGCTTTTTTGTGGCTATAGACGGTGTAGAAAGAAGAGTTTCCAATTCTACAAGATCATTCCACAGTCTTTCTGATAGTGAAACATTAGGGTTATCTACATCTTCTAAAAAAGTTCTTAATTCTAACAACCTCTTTATCATTAAATATGTACTTCTTTATTGCTTTGCTTGATCAATAATTGCTCCTTTTCCTGCTCGCTTCCTAAGAATGACATCAATTTTGGAACTTCTTCTTGCGATGTCAATACGGAAATCTAAAATTATACAAAATTATTTTTGCTTTTAAAAGCTATTATGCAGAAAAAAAATATCGTAAAAATACTGATTTAAAAATATTGTGGGTAAGTTGAAAAATAAGTTTCCCCTGTCGACTGTGGTCAGAGTTGTGTATGAAAGTCAAAAAATAGAATGAGACATTAAAGATATGACATACCTTTATTTTTCCACATAGGTACCAAGTACATTGAGACATTTGTCATATCGCTTGATAAGCTTCAAAAAGCCCTCCAGGAAAAAATCAGGGCTTTGCATATGGAAGAAGCGTTGAACGGCTTGTTTCACTTCAGTATTGCTTCCAAAGCGCCTTCCCCCGAGATTTTTCTTCAAAGCCGGAAACAGATGGAAGTCGCTTGGTGCGAGATCAGGACTGTATGGCGGATGGTGTAGGCGCTCCCAACCAAGAGTTGCAATATGGTTTTGCGTTGCCGTCGCCGAATGTGGTCTGGCATTGTCATCCAACAGCAGAACGCCAGATGTGAGAAGGCCAGGCCGCTTTTTCCGAATCGCCTCTTTCAATTTCGACAGGGTGTCACAGTAGCGCGTAGCATTGATGGTTCCAACCTCCAAAAAGTCCAGCAACAAAACTCCTTGGGCGTCCCAGAAAACTGTGAGGAGCACTTTACCTGCAGAGGGAGTTGTCTTGAACTTCTTTCGGACAGGTGATGACGGATGTTTCCACTCCATAGATGCGGCCTTCGATTCTGGCGTGAAATGGTGGACCCACGTTTCATCCCCCGTCACAATCCGAAACAGAAAGTCATTGCCATCTTCATGGTAACGCACGAGATGTTCCAGGCTGACCCCCATGCGTTGTTCCTTGTGTGTCGAGGTCAATTGTCGGGGCACCCATCGTGCTGACACTTTTCTGTATCGAAGAATGTCGTGGATGATGTTTTGAGCTCGCTCATGTGAGATTCCAAGTTCTTCCGCTACTTCATCGATGGTGATACGCCGGTTCGCTCTAATCATGTCATCCACCTTCCTGACATTTGCATCTGTAGTGGCCGTGCGCGTCCGTCCAGCTCTCGGTATGTCCTCCACTTGCTGACGTCCATCACTGAATGTGCGACACCATCTCCGCACCATTTGCTTCGACATCACACCTGGCCCATAGACTTTCACAAGGCAGTTATGAATTTCTGTTCCTGATACTCCACGTGCCCATTCATAGTGGATAACCGCTCTCACTTCCTCCTTTGACCGCAAATTCAAAACGCACCTTCTCTCCATACCTACCGGGGAGTCGGAGTCGACTTGTTTTTAGCGACTCCAGCTCCAACTCCTTTTACCTCAAAATCTGCCCGACTCTGATTCCGACTCCACAGTCCTGGTTGCTAATATTGGTTTTGTTTTGTCGGCATAATTGAGGAAGGAAGGGAGAAAGAATTAGATTCTAAGGTACTTAACATAGTAAGTTGACCCTTTCCTTAACTTTCTAATCTGATTCAGCTTCTTTATAGGATGGGGAAAGAATATTATTATTACAGCTAACTTATAAAAATTAAAGTTTGAATTTTTGACTGTGTTGAAAAGTGTCTCTAATGCAGCAGGAAGAGCTGCAGCAGGATCTGCACTTTCCAACATCAGCTGGCTAGGAAGTCTCACTGCCATCATGACAAATATATTGATGTATTAACCTTTAACATATCAATCAAGTATTTGTCATGTATTTGTATATGACATGGTATTTGTCATGATTGTGACAATGTATTTGTCGTAATGTTAAATTCTCTCTGAATTCAAAGAAAAATTGAAAGAAAAAGGATTTATAGGTTACCATAAGTTACTCTGAACCTTCTTTATTTATACTGGATGACAGCACAACACAAACCAGTCCATACATTTTTACAAAAGGCATGTTTTGATGTCTATCATGCAAAAAGTAAAATTGCTGCAAAAATGGACAAAGGCATGTATGTCTCAAAATTTTACAAGTGGCATTAGAAAGCCAACATCATATGACATACACACAAACAAGGAGCTTCCTTATTTTTTTGTGTATTCTGAAATCCCCCTCACAATGAATACAACGGGGGGAATCATTCGTTATGCTAAAAGTAACAGTTATATTATAAAATGATGATTGAATGGGTGCAACAGCATCACAGCAGAGGGAGGAGGATTCCCAGTTTTCTACACTCTCCGAAAATGAAACTTGCCTGACAAGCAGCAACAATGTTTGTAAAATATTAACATTATTAAGAGGCAATGAAATTGCCTGGTTTCAATGATGTTTGTGAATCTATTTTAAAGTGATGATGTAAAAAAATACAATAAAATATAGCACTATTGTTAAATTTTTGTTCTAACAGAGTAAAGATGATATTTGTAACTTACTATAAGTAGGAAATTATGAAGAAACTCCGTGAAATCTGAATGCGATATTACACATGACAGCTTTCTAAATGGTACTGATATATCTTTAATGATTTATTTAGCTTTTATTACCTATCTGTTAAGTGTCACCTTTTCAGTATCTTCTCTAAAAGACAGTTACAAGGAATGAAGGCTTTTATGTCAATCATATTTAAGCAGAATCCCATACTTATCAGCAAACAAGCACTACATCAAAATTCACTCAAATTAATTTTTTTTCATTAAAATGATACATGTACATCTTGCAAAAATAAATAAATAAATAAATAAATAAATAAAAGGGGGGGACAGTTCTATATCTCCCATTCTACTGGGCCGATTGTCGTAATTTAACTTACGTTTTCCAGGTCTACAAAGTGTGACTTAAAATATATATTAGATTTATATATAGCACTATTCTAACATAGGTATTTTGACACAAAATCAGTTTTTTTTCTGAAATAACATAATTTGTTTTTCCATATTTTGATTTTACGACTCAAATTATGCCTAGATATTAAATTTTGTAATTTTTGGTGAGAAATTAAAAAATTTGTCGTGTGCCATTTTTTTGAGTTTGCACCAAGAATAATTCACTTGGTGAACTTCTTAATTTGGCTGCCAAATCCTTTCCTTTTTTCATTGTATATGAGCGGAAAAAAAGGTCATCGTTCATACTTTCAAATAATTTTAACAAAGTGCGTAAACCAAGTTTGGCATAATTGTTGCTTACAATGAATATTCCAAATTTCAAAACGTACCAATATGTTAGTTCATGTATATCTCAGGAAATTGTGAATAAAAAAAACTTGGTACTTTTCCAGTTTGCTGAGTAAGCTAGTCGTATGAACTGAAATAATTCTTGCATTTAAACTTGTATTCCAAATTAAGATTTAACTTCAAATTATTGTAGATAATTACTGAGACAATTAGATTTTTGTAGCGTGATTTACGTGAAATGAGATCACTTGGGGTCACATAATATGAAACGGTGAATCAGTGTGTTGTACCATGAAAGCATAGTAAATTCTTAAATTAATATCTTTTTACAAATTTATTGTCTTTATTTATTGTCTTTTTTAAACGATATTAAAATGTTTATGCCTTTAAAATAAAAATTTCTTAGAACTATCATTTTTTTATGTGTATACTGTGTGTTGTCGCCAATAAAGTCTGCTTGGCGAGATTTGCGCCAGAGAAACGGAAAAGTACCAAAAACTCTTATTTTCAGGTATGCTTAGAGATACATCTACTTTAAGATAATGGTAAGAATTTTATAGATTATAATTAAAAAAAATTTTTTGAAAATTGTAAAAATTAAAAATATAAATTTTTTAAAAATAAATCATCAAAAACGGACGAATTTTTTTGGAATGAACCTAAATTTCGAAAAGTGAAAGGAAGAATATTAAAAAAGAGATATTAAAAATATATATACTAAATTCAATTAACATGGAGAAGCAGAAATTTTGAGACTAATTTTTTAAAAGCCACTTCTGCGATTTTTACAAAACTTGGCACTCTGGCATAATTTGAGTCGTAGAATCAAAATACGGAAAAAAATTTGATTGTTATTTCAGAAAAAGTCAGATTTTGTGTCAAAATGCCTATATTAGAACAACGTTATATATAAATCTAATATATATCCAAAGTCGCGCTTTCGGAACATGAAAAACGCAAGTTAAATTTCGGCAATCAGTCCAGTAGAACGGGAGGTATAGAACTGTCCCTTTTTTTGTGTGCAAGGTATACAACTGCAACTATGGCAAGACTCATTTATAACAAGGAAATAAATTATGCTGATTTCATAATTCATGCTACATATTTTATATGCCATTTTGCCATCTTATCATACATCTAGATACAAAACATTAAAAAGGCAGTGAAAAAATATCATTACCTGTCAATTTGCCATCTTACCATACATACATCTAGATACAAAACATTAAAAAGGCAGTGAAAAAAATATTACCTGTCAATAAAATCATCCTGCATCGTCCGGTTTCTTTGATGTCTCGTAAAATTTCCTTGTTTCCCTTCATATTTGTCATCTAATCCATTAGCATTATAATTTTCAACATGTTTGTGATATTTCTCCTCGGTAAACCTGCTTTTTTTGTTAACTCTATCTGACTCATGATCTCGAGGAAGTTTTTTTTTAATTTGTTCCTCACTATCAATATCAGAGGAGCTGTAAGAATGATGCTGGCCTTTACTGTGTTTCCTGCGATGCTTGGTTTGCAGTGATGGTGAATCTGAATTTCGTTTTTTAGATTTTTTCTGGTGAGGTGACGGAGATTCGGACAGTCTTTGATATTTTCTTGAATGCTCAGTTGGAGATGATGACCTAGAATGACTGAAATTCTTTGCAGAACGCTGATGAGGTGACAAAGATCTAGATCTGTTGTAATGATTGTCAGAACCATGATTAGAAGATCTTGATTTTCGATGGTGATGTTCATTAAGTGACACATCTAGTGGTGATCTCGATCTAGATTTCCTGCGTGATTTTTTTGAAGCGCTCTGCTTGGGAGAATGTTCAGTTTTATGATGATGTTTCCTGTGTACCTTTTCATTAGATAAAGAATATGATCTTGCTTTTTTTTTGTCATATGTCTCATAACTCGAAGGCGATGATTCTTCTGAATTTGTAACCATATTTCCTACCAAAGAAACAAATATAAAAAAAATTCAGTAATTCCATATATAGTACAACAAATTTAGTCCTGAATGAATTTTTAATAAAAATGTTAAATATATTAATAGTTAAATATAATAATTAAAGCAAATATAAATACTGTTAAGTTAAAACAGATCAGATGTTTAAAAGTTAGAGATAATTTTTGGTACAGGGTTGCTACTCAAACATGCGACTTTTCCATGTTTTCCCAAGCACGTATTTAAGAAAATTCCAGTCGAGCCATGCAGTGCACATTGGCTGTGATAAGAGGCACCACTTGAAAACCAAAAATTTGCCAATTATATATGACTTTTCCCCAAATCATTACTATTATAACTATAATAGGAGATGTTTTCTCCACTGAAGATTGGGATTAGAATCTGCCCATTCTGGATTAAAAAAATGTCTTTTTTTGCAGACATTTTGCAGCTAAATGATAGAAAGAAATCTATTTAATGATATCTTAAAATAATTCAGGTATTTTATATTTAATTAGCAGCATATATGAGCAAACAATATGTGACTGAATCTCGTGATGTTAAGCCATCATACTGCTAGAATTACAGAAGTATGCCACAGAAAATTTTCTGAAATTTAAAAGTATTATTAACTAATAATAAACAAATTCAGAAGGAAGAAGCCATATTAAATGATAAAAATAACAGTAAAATAAAGTTTATTACTTATAATAAATAAATAAAGTTTAAAACTGAATGACAACAATCAACGATATTTTGGCAAATACAATTGTATTAATGATTAGTCTATATGACTGATTGCTATTTTTTATTTTAGTGCAAAATGACAAATAAGGCATTTATTAAAAAAAAAAAAAAGATTTTAAAGATTTTGTGTTCAAATTCTAGTATATGGTATGGCCTTGGCACAATTTTGAAAATTGTCGCCAGTACCGAAATGACCTGTTTACTGCTTATCATAATGTCGCCAAATCCCGTGTATACTGTATACTAGGATTAAACTGATTTTATTTTATATGAGAATGGGAAGGTGTTTTCTTTCGTTCAACATGCACTGCGCATGTGCATGTGAATCTCTCGATCATTGAGGTTACTGGAAACTTGCTTTGCCTTTCTAAAAGACAATCTGATTAAAGCTGCCAAAATTGCCTCTATGCCAGCTGCCTGAACGCCGCTTACACGATCCCTTCCAACATTGGTGTAAAAATTGCTTTTTTTGTGAATCGTCCTATGAAATTCCCTGACTTTTCCATATTTTGAATAAAATATTTAAATTCCCTGATGTTTTTTTGTCAATTTTCAAATTCCCTGACTTTTAAGGGTTTTTCAGGCAGTGTGGCAACCCTGTTGGTACTTATGTATTAATGCAACCACCTTAGTAGAAATTGGCAAATTTTCAGAAAGTGCCCAACTCTGGCAATCGTACGTAAACCATTCTGCCAGCAAAATCCTTTGATCAAGCAATGCTGCCATTTTCGTATGCTTCCTTTTTTGTTGTATTCCAAGTTCCAATGGCTATTATAAACAAATCATGATATTTTTTGCCTTAAACTTTATTTCAAATTATGAGTTTGTGGAATTTGCCAGCAACGAAAGAAGCTGCAGTAAAATTTCTGCAAGGATACATAATTTTGCTGAAAATTTTCTAAAAAGTACAAACAGGAATTACTGAGGATTCTACAAAGCAGAGTCCCCACAATTTTCTGATTTTTTTAACAGATTGCTGTGTTCTTCGGGAGAAGAATAATAGCATAAAATACTTACAGAGATTTAAAGAATGTATTTTGTTTAATGTATCAATTAATCCTTATTTAATACTTCAAATCTGTGTTTTAAATTGCTAAAGTATGTTTTCTTTTCATATGTTGACAATGTTCATCGACATATGATAAATATCGATAGTTTGGGAATCTTTCTACACAAAAGGTGCCAAACCACCAATTCACATCCATTAAGTTAATTTTTACTTTTTCATCCACAAAAAATGCAAAATTGCACCAAGGCGGTTGCATTAATATGTAAGTGCATTTTGTAGACAGGAGAACAGGTCACATTCAAGTTCTTTGACTTTTTGAAAAATTTTAGGAGTTTGTCCACTTTCAAAGCCTCCAAAAGTACAGTTGTTTTATAACATTGTTCTACATACTGAAAGAAGACTACATCTATTTTGACCTCGTAGAAAATAATGCATTACAGATAACTGTGCAAGCAGCATTTATTTGGTTTTAGAAGAACTTTACATATATAAATATTAAAAAGATATAGACTAATTCCAGCTGGCATTATTCAAAAGTAAGTAATGAAACAAATTTCAATTCACTTGAAATTTTTACAGTATATTTGATAATTCAAAAATAATAAAACACACTGAATTTAAGCTAATTTAATTACAACCAATATATACCATATTTTTCAGCGTATAATGTGCACTGGTATATAACATGCATCTATAATTTCGAACTATATTTTAAAAGTTTTTGGTATATTCATCATATAATGCGCACCAATTCCTTACGAAGAAACCTGTGCAATGCTCTTATCGTTTCAGGCCACTTATTCGAAGATGTGTCTTAGCCTTTCGAACAATGGTATACTTAATTGGCAAGTGATAAGGGGAACAATATGTGTGTGGGTTAAATGCTTAAGGGAGTAAATATATTTGCAAAGAGGGTGCATTGTATTCAGTGCAAGTGTTTAAAAGAATGCTATTGTAGCATTTCGAGAAAAGAGGGATAAAATTTGGAGTAAGAATGCAGTTCCAACACGAAAGGATTTGTGGAATTATGATTTAGATGTTTTCTCTTTCTGTGGTCATTTGAAACAGTGATTTTGAAAGTTTAAGTTAAAATACCATTGATCTAGCATTCTTTTAGTAGTAAATACAGCCCCTGCCATATGAAATAACACAGTGCTGATTTCAAATGCAAAGTCATTCAGTTTGCAAAAGAAAATGGAAATCGTGCTGCAGTAAGGATCTTTGGTGTTTGTGAAAATGGAGCGAATGATGATTATTTATTTATGGATCAGAGTAACAGTGATGGTGAAGAGATGAAACAGAAATCTATGATGTTCTTGAACAGAAGATGGACATGATAAAATTTCCATGTTATCCGATAATGAAAAGTTTTCAAGTTCAAAAGGTATGTCATTTCTTTTAAATAAACAGCATAAGTGCATGTAAAAATGTAAATTTTATATGCTGATTTTTTTCCATATTTTTAATCTATCATTTTTATAACTGGCATATAATGCACATCCATAAATTTCAATCATATTTTTGGTGTTAAAAGAGCCCATTATATGCCGGATTATACAATAATTTTATTTTTACATGCTGCGATTTTACTTCATTATAATTTTTGCTGGCAGCTAAAATCATTTCATTCTTTCTCCCTGCTATTTCTTCACATAAATTTAACAAGACATAAATCTGTTGGCTGATGCACACTTTCCCACTGACAGTTATTTCTTCAATTCACTGGCTCTAAAAATCATTCAATCTTCTTGGTATTTTTTTTATAAAAGACTGATTTTAATTTTTAATAATTCAGAATTTAATGCTTTTTTATTGTTAAAGACTGTGCTGATGTATCCGGTATTTGTAGCAAATGTGTTTTGGCAGACGTTCTTGCAATGTAAATGTTCTTTGTTGTTTTTAATCAACAATCGGTAGCAGAGTGTGGTTGTCCCCTCTGGTGATGAATTTTTAAGAAATGAAACTTTGCTGATCTCTTTGAAAGGTAAATTTTATTTATGTGACTTCTGAAAATTAATTAGAAAAGTAAAAAATAAGGCATATAATATGACAGAATCAAAAGCAAAAGGATGAAATAAAGGATAAAGAATTCATTTACTTCACTTTAGAATTACAGAATGAATTTGATGTCAGAATCATTAAAAACAAGAGAGATAAGGATGTAGCTAAAATTAAACAAGCATTAAAAGAAACAGGAAAATAAGTAAATAAACTGAGACAAGACAAGAGAAGGAAGCAGGTTCTAAAGCAGAAGAAAACCGGATAAAACTGAAATATCAAAGAAAGAAAATGACTTTCCACAATTAACCCTTTAAGCGGTCAATTTTTTTACCAGAATTGCTCCCAAAAAAAAGCATATTTTTTTATTGCATATAATTAATACCATACTAATAAATAAGATAATAAGGTTTTTTAATGTTTTTTTTTCACTTTTAATGTTTTACACATTTTTATTTACAATTTTGGAAAACAAAAACCCCTAATGTTTGCTTGTTTCAACTACATTTTGCATGCAGTGAAGATGGGTCAATTTCTAAAAATTTCTCTCATCTTTACGTGAATTTTGAACTTCTTTTTTCCAAACCGTTCAGAAGTCTTTTCGTGTATGGTATATTTGAAGCATTTTAATGCAAGGCCTATGTCGCTCAGGGCAAATACCTTGTTTCTTTTCATATTCTTTTCATTCTCCTTTCTTTAGAACCACACTGTGCATGTCTTGCAGGTCTCATTTCTTTCTGTGGAAATTTTTCCAAATGTCTCTCTGTCAATCTCAAGTATATCCCCGAACCTGGTCGTCCGGTCGGAAATTTTGTCCCAAATGATAGTTCAATTATACGGTCAACGATATCAAGTCTAAATTCCAGTTGTGTACGTTTTCCTCCGTTTTTACGGTGACAACCATGATTCCTAAGCAATATCAAAATGTGGAAAAATCTTTTGTAACATTTTTTTACCCCGTTTCTTGTATTTCAAAACTCTTCAATTTGGTCCATGCGGTCTACTCCTCCCATAGTATATTAAGTCCAAACAATTTTCAGTTTTTCTTTCATATCAGAGCGGACTTGAATTTGTTCCTTTCGTATTGTAATTGTGGAAAGAAGAAACTTTATTTTATCCATCCACTTTCATCACAGTAACTTCCTCTCTGAAACCTCTAATCTCGCCTTTTTCAATTTCTTTCTGCATTTCTTTGGGACTTCTTTTCTCGTGACGTTTAGTGTGGCCGTATTGTCGTTCGACATAA